TAATGAGTAAAAGACTTCAGACTTTGGTATTGTTACCCGATGTTGCGGCATTAAGCTGCCTCCCATAGTTTCCTTTCCTCCTTTGTTAGTTAAAGCCTCTTTTTTCTTTTTTATGATCAGTTTTTACAAGTCTGATTTTTTCATCTTCATCAGAAATAGTATGTTAAAGTTATTAAGCCAGCAAGGGCAGACTAAATTTTTGGGCTTTTTTCACCTCCCAGCCCTCTATCAAAAAAGGCACTGAGCGTGAGATCATGGCCTTTTTAGGCAAGCGTAATCTTTTTTCCAGTTCTAACAAATTTCAGACACATTTGAACAGAAAAGATCACATTTCTGTGCTGTAGGTAGATGGCTCCAGCATTATTCATATGATTCTTTGTATATGTCTGTAGCAGCCCTTTAACAAGAGCAGTGAGCCAGCTCTGAAATACAATAGCACTCAGGGCCACCCTTTTATGTTTGTTTACTCACTTTTATGAGCCTTCCTCAGTTATTTGATTCACAGGGCTGAAACATGCCAGAAGACAGATCAAGAAATTCATTGGCCTTTTTTTGGAGAGGCCTGCTCTGCTGACCTCTGTGTACCAGGATACCAGAGCTTTCTTATGGAACTTGGAATCTGTATTCTTTTACCACATAGCTGGTTAACAACAGATCTGATGTATGGTCTATAGCAGTCTATCTTTTGATTTTAGTACACCTCCACTGGCATGGAGCCTCCACTGCTGCAGGTCTGTTCCAGAGCAAGATAAATCTGTAAACAACAGCTAGATGGAAGAAATTTAATTTATCACATAAAGATTTTGCCAGTGGAGGTCACACTGGGGCCAGTGGATATCAAACCTAATTCGGCTGCTCATAGAAAAAAAGATTTAGCATTAGATAAGTCAACCATTGGGCCCTTTTCTCTGTTACTTCATTTCATCATGGCAGTCATTTCGAAGAGCTAAATATAGATAAAGGTTGTAAACTGTACTAACAGCTGTAATCTTATTGCAACAATTATCTAGATAAAGTTTTCTCAATTTCTTTATGGAAAATAGGTCCAATCTGATCTAGCTGAAGTAACCCTAGATTTGAGCCCCCTTGTACAGAGCTTTAGATAGAAATTGATGTACAAATCACTCTCCTCTGTCACCATGTGCCCTCTAAACCAAGTAGTTGACTCAGTCTTTTGAGTATTTAAAAACTAAGCCAAAAGGTCTAGAGCTTTAGGTCTAGAACCTTCCTTTTCTTTATGTGTATATATTTGCATGAATAAAGGGATTGAATTATCCAGGTGCTACTGTGTTAGAAGTAATTAATACTTAGAGGGTAAGTATGCTTTTCCTCCCATAAATTGATTGAATTTTCATATCCTCTTTGCCTGGAGCGACTCGCTTCAGCAACCTTGCAGAATTTCTATGTTTTTGATTTATTGTACAGCATCCTTCTACACTTCTAATCCTTATGGCCTGCACACATATGGAATTAGTTACAGATTTAATGCCCCATTGATATTAGTGCAAATATTTAATTTCTGACATCTTTAAAAGAAAGGAGATCAGAGTTTCAGGTATTTTTCCACTGCTAATTCTCATTTAGATATATTTTCTACTGCAAAGATAAATCTTTTGAGCTTGAAATATGACTGATATCTGAAATGTAGCTGATGATAAATATGTATATTGTAAACATAGTCAGTGTCTCTACAGGTCAAGGATAAAAGTTTTACACTTGTTTTCAGGCCCTAAAATGTGCTAAATGTCCTGTGCATCGAATGATGAGTTACTGCTGACTTTTTTTTCTTATTTTCTTTTTTTGTTTAAATATGGAAATGAGCAGGCCATGTTTTCCTAGCATTCCCTGTTCTGCTGTACTAATGACCTAACAGTTTACTTGCTAATTATGGTGACATCTTCTAGGCTATATCTGTGGGAGATACGCTTTTTATGATTTCATATGTACATACATATTTGCAATTATATGAAGTACTTTTAAAGGAAATAGACTACAGGTTTGGAAAGCCAGTTCCTGTGGAGTTTTATGTATAATGATTTCTGAGGGGCTGAAAAAGAGATGGCTTTCCTTATTAGAAAGGAGACGTGTAGAAAATTACAGTTTTTATTCATCATATTGAACAAGTCAAAGAGTTAGATTTTTTTTCTCCATATGTGTATGTCTTTTGGGGATTTTTGTAAACAACTTAGTTGGTAGTTCATGTCAATTTTTTACTTGAAAAATCTTTTTTATTAAGGAGACCAGATTGTGTGTATCTCTCCTGATATTTTATTCTAGAAGTTAGACTAAACCAAATGCTGAATCTGCACACCTCTGAAACTTCATAGGTTTAAGCTGTGAACTTTGCATCTGGTCCATATCAACTTAAGAAACCAAGCAAAAAGAAAGAAAAATCAAAGCAGTTTTAGAAGTAATGTGTATATTAAACCTCATTTTATCCATACTCTTTGAAGGTCATGCATTCCTCCCTATCCTAGAGCCTAAGATTATGCAGCTTGCTCTCTGAGAAGTTGCTGTGAGCACTCTCAAGCTGCAGGATTTTGGGGCAGGTAGTTTGGCCACAACAAGGACAGACAAACATCTGTGGATCATATCCTTCAGGGGGCTGTCCCGATAGAGCACTTCTGAGATCTCTGTATGATTTGGTGGGTTTGCATTCTTTTGGCAGCTTGCCTGTGGCTGTGTTGGGGTCTGTGGGCCCTGCAGCCCAGGGCCCTGGCAGTGAAGGGGCAGCAGAGTCTGCTCGGTGTTTCCTAAACCCCCCCATGGTTAAGGTGAGCTGGATTTCCTTACACTGAAGGTGATCCTGCCTTACTGTGCACACCAAGCATAGCAGAACCCTGCTTGGGAGAAGTGTAGGCTGTAAGAAGGATGGGAGGGGGAATACAGGCTATAATAAACCCTTTACTACCATTTCTACAAGTCCTTGCTTGCAGATGCAGTAAAATTGAAGAGCTCATCCATATATGAGCAATTAGAAGCAAACCAACATAAACATTCCTGCACAACTAATCAATAAACTCGTATGTCTTCATTAGCAAGGTAGCATTTTGTGTTATTGATATTAAAGATCTGCTTTCTGTGTTGGATCTCACTGCAATTGTTATTGATGAATAAAACCCCCATGGGCTGAAATTGTTGTCTTTTAAAAACTAGAATCTTGATTGGATGGCTTTATTTTCCTTGCATTGCTTCTCACCACATATCCAAAGTGTTGAGAATGTATAATTTTGCAAGTCTCACTTGTCACTCACTGGACACTGTGTGGATGAGGCAGTAGCAGAATGCTGAGGCTGCATTGGTGTGTATGTATCACTTAGGGCTATTTTAAGAATGGATTTTGATTTGTGTCATTCCTACTTTAAATATGACTTGTTCAATAACACGTTCAGTAGTAATTAGATAATTTAATGTCTACTGACAGGTCTTTTGTGACTGAGACCCAATTTTAGCTCTGCATACCAAGGACCTTGCCAAGGAAAAGTAACCCTTTTACTTAGTAAGGAAGGATAATGGGTAACTTCTGGAATTAAGTGAAAAATTGAATCCAGCTTCCTGTGTGCACTTTAGGTCCCACACTGGGATTACAGAACTAGCTCTGAACTGCTTGGCTGCTGACAATAAAGATTTTATGTGTGTCACATTGAATTTTCAAAAAAAGTTCTCAAATCAAAAAGTTCCATTTTACATTGAGTCTGGCTGCTTGTTTAGGAGTTTAAGTGCTTTGCACTGGCTTGTCTTCTCTGCTTAAGTAGGTTTTTTGGAGGAAAAAAAATGGTAATATTCCAGTTTAAGGAAAGGGGAGAAAGAAAATAAGGTCATATGCAAACAGAATTTAAAAGTGTTAGCCTAGTTTCCATCATTAAGAATTTATCCACTGAAGAGCTCTTATTGGCCAAGTGCTTGCTTACCAATTATTTCACTATAAGAGGAATTTTATAAACACAGGAATAATTTCATTTCCTTGTATTACTGTGTATTATTATCTGTTCATATATCTATGTATATTTGAGTGATGCAGAGTCAGTATCTTTAGCAATGAAGGTGCTTCTGCCCTTGGAATGAGACAGCAAATAAAAATAAATATGCTTTTTCTTGTATCCAACATTTTAAATATTTATAGGCTGTCTTCTGTGGTACATAACCTATTGCATTATAGGTCGTCTTTTTCTGTGGAGTGTTTCATTCTGAGAACTGCCTGACTGTGCCATGTAATCACTGGGAGCAGACACACAAGACCCCTGCAAAAAGGAAATGCCATCATTTCTAATCTGTGCATATAAATGGATCATGCAAGTCTTAAGACCTGTGTGAATATCCATTTGGAAAAGTTTTTACACTCTGGATTAAAAGCTTCTTCATTTTAACATGGCATTCTCCCACAGAGATTTTATGCAATGGTTCATTAATCAAGAAAAGCTTCATTAATCAAGATATAGTCTGAATTTTTGAAAGCATATTTAAATTAAATATTCAGTCCTGACAGAATGTATTTTCTAATGTATTTAGCCACAACTGTGTGAAATTCACAGTCAAGAAATCAGCTGGTCTTTATTCAGCCTTCTAACAGGATGTCTTTAACTTTGATTTTTAGGTTCCTTCTGGTGTGAGACAGATTTACAATCTTTCTGTTTGTAAATGATTTTTTTATATATAAAACTCCCGAGTGTCTGATTGGAGAATATTTTTCTTTGAAATTCTGCTGTCTGAATTCCACAAGAAAATAACCAGGAAGCCCTGTGATGTGATATTGTAACCAGACTCTCACTTAACTACTCATTTGTCTTTTAACTTGGTCGTGGGAACAGTAATTTACTAACCTAATTTAATGCATTTGTTGCCTTTAGAGATCAATGCTGCTCCAAGCAAAGTCAATAACAAAACTTTATTGATTTTCCTGGGACCAGATCAGCCCCTTTACACATGAGTGCGACCTTATAGCATCATAATTTTTCTGTGCAGTTTCTGAAATATTAACCCATGTTTTTGTCCTTGCACAGGTCTTGATACACTGTGTAAAAGGGAGTTGATGAGGCAGCTGACTTCTCCAAAGAGCTGTGGCAGATGGAACATACAGCCAGGATTTCCAGTCCACTGAGCCACAGAACACAGGAGAGCTCCACTCTGAATGTGTGGCATGAAGAGGTGGATTGTCAATATGTTAATTAATTAATATACCTGGTAAGTATCCCTTTCCACTACTTGACTATTTTTCATTCCCAGGCATAGATAAGGGCTCAAATTTTTGGAAGATATCAAATATGTTGTAAACCAAGTATTTTTGGGAGGCAGTGTAATTTAATATGAGAAGCATCACCCTTTTTGCCAAGAGGTAAGAATTAATGCCCTGTTTATGTTGTTGTACATCAGAATCTTGTTGGACAAAATGTGATAAAGAAACAAGGGTTTGTTTAGGCTGTCAGTGCCATGACCTTCTGATATTCAGCTCTAGATCAGTGGTAGGATTTAACAATAGCAAGTACTACTCTAAACCCCATCAATTATGTCTGTAAAAGCATTTGGGAGCTCTTAATCTTTAAGCTTTAGAAGGAAGATCATAGGCAGAGATGCACAGGAGTCAGTAAGGAAACTGCTGGAGGATACTAGCAGAAATTCAAAAAGATGTATGGTAGATATCTCAAGTTAACGCTGTTATCTGAACATACAGCACCAAAAAGGAAAAGGATTACCAGTAAAACATATTTCAACATGGTTCCTCCCCACTGAGATTGCTGTGAGAGAAAAATATGAATGTGGCAGTTAAAAACTTTAAACAAAGAATATGCAAAAGACAGAGAAATGCAAATTTGGGAACTTGAGTCAACAGGAATGTAGACAGAATGAGTTTTGTCTGCAGCCTGGCAACTTTTCTCTGAACTGCCTCAGCTCTGTTTAGGTGCCTGGGAAATGGTTCCTGGGAAATGATTCTTAAGCCATTTTGAGACTTCAGATCAGGGTCTTACAGAATGAACAGCAAAACACAACCTCTGCATCTACAAACAGCCCTAGGTTTGGTAAACTATAATCACTGTAGCCCCCAAAGGTCTCTATGTTGTTTCAGTTTAATTAGGCTATTAAAAGAAAACAAACCTGTTCTTGACATTTATGAATATGCATATATTTTGTGTTTTTTGTGTGGAGCAAGTTCATATCTTCACCCTGTCTCCATATGTTTTATGTGTGTGCAGATAAACAGCTTGAAATGATCCTTTGTTTTATGGAAATTTCTTGAGCCTAGTAAAATATTTCTCCTAAATACCTTTCTGAATACAAAGGCCTTGCTGATGTACAGCTGAATATTTAGAGAACTAATTCATTAAGAGCAGAGCCAGTATTTTTTTTTACTGGAGAATCCTACAGGTTTATCACATTGTTCTATGTTAAAGTAATGATGCATCAAGCTCCCCATTAGTTAGTGAGGAAGAAACCCTCAGGGCAATTGAAATGAAACAGCTTAACACACAGAGTACCTGGCAAAAAAATTACAGGGCTAGACAAGAAGAATGTGGCGACGCTGGAGGTCTGTAACCGCAGCCTCCGGAGCCTGGAGCTCTGATGGACACCTCTTCCTTGGCAAAAAGACATTTGGAAAGTGATATTTGAAAATATCCACACAAGACAGCTTTGTCAATGTATTTCAGCATGGGATATTGGGAAAAAATCATGAAACTCTCAATTAAACTTTAATATGCAAACTGCCTGTTTCCTAATAATTAAATAAAGAAGTTGTTTAATAAGTAAGCTGGTAGGGAATAGATGAATAAATAAATTTCAGAATGTCAGGAGGTTTTCTGGAAAGATTACTGTACACTGAAACTGGCAGATTTAGAGAATTAGTTATGTATCTGGATATCAAAGTTTTCTCAACAAACATTTTTGGAAACACCTTTAATAGGTCTTTCTGTTAGCTTCTATTTGGTTCCCGAAGAAATGCAGAAAGTCTTCATAAGCCAGATTTTGACTGTAAGGATTAAACTGTTGTTGTTGTAAATAAATAGATTGCTTTGTGTGAATCAGAGAACAAGTTACAATGGAATTACACAATTTCTGTTTCCCAGGTTTTGTGCCTAAATCATAATTAGCAAATGTGTCTGCTAAATTTGCATTACACTAAATGGAATATTACTGCAATTTACGTGTAAAATTTCAAACATGTCGGATTTTTAAAGAGAAAATTTGTGTTGCTAATTGATTACATGAGTTATTTTACTTGTGCCAGTGGGCAAGGGAGAGAAATAGTACATGTTATGAAGAAACCTAACACAAGAATAAAGATATTTTCCATACTGAAATCATAGAGCAACACATAGAAGATATATAAAAAGACTAAAAGAAAAGAAAGTTATAGGAAAAGTTATAGGACCCCGCTGCTATACATTGTATACAGGTCAAAACTGGGCTCAGGTCTTTTCTGTGGGGTTTCTAAATATGATACTTTGCACGAGGTGGCTCTGCTGTTAATTTCATTAACACACAGATACCCAGCAAGGTATTTGTTATTTGTGTCCCACATGCCCTGCTGGGTATCTCTGTATTATCCTTCATTACAATTAAATTACAATTAATATTTGTTTAGCTGTGCTTCTAGAAAACTATACATGTTATTTATACATAGATATATATGTTATATATATTTATGTTATGCAGTATAGAACAACTCTATATGTAGAACTAGTAGACATGCAAAAAACTTACAGGTTCAATTATTTTTGCTTGCCTTATTGCTTTAACTTCCGAAGACAGAGAAGCTGACTGACTATTGCAAATTACTTAGGAGTGGTAGATTGAAGTGGCAATTAATCTTACACCCTTGGCTGGAGCTCTCTCTCTTCCTCCTTTACAGCTTCTACTGTGTTTCTCTCAGTGTTGATTCACAGCATGAATATTCTCATCAAGAGATGTTCTACTACAGTTTTGGAAACGCAACATTTCTGAGCTGATACATTAGTTACTTTAATGTTCCCTATTTAATTAAATTATTATTATCAATATTGCTTTCTTGTGCTTCTGTTTGAGGCAACATTAGTGCCTCTATTAATGTACACATTAATATTTGTGCCTGAAATATGCTGTCAGATGTTGCCTAAAGTTATTTACTTCTTAAATCCTAGACCTTGAAGTTCAGGCAACTGTTTTGTCTTAGCAGCAAGTTAAGACAATATTAACTTAGCTCAATACTAGTAGAATTTACCTTGGATGATATTCTGCTTCATGAGGTCTGGGGTTTAAATTAAGTATACCACTAAAGACAGGAGGAGTAACCATGTGTAGGTTACAGTACCCTTTAATGCCAGTAATGAATTATATGGAGAAAAGCAGGGATCAGAATGTCTCTAAATTCAGGTATTTGTATGATTTTATTTCACCAGGATCTGTGGTTTAAATACCAGAACAGTAGCAGATGCCTTAGCATCTTTAAATTTTACAGCTTTGTTTATAATTTCTCTGTTAAAGTTTTAATACTTTGAAGTGCACTGTACAAGTGCTCGTGGCATAACTACTTCTAAAATCACTTCAAGGGGATTTGAGGAATTCTATTCTTAGCAATTTCCTACAGGCAGCTTTTCAAATTCACTTTATTGACTCCAAACTGTTTCAATTTCTACTTGTATAATTTTACAAGAAATATGACAAATGTAACTGTTTTCCCCATGTTTTATGTCTCTAATGAGGAGCAAAAGGTCAAGGACTTTGGGATGGAGGGGGAAGCCAATTACTCTTGCTACTGTGCTTTGGAATACTGCTTGCAACTCACCCTCATTTTCTACCAGCAGTATTACAGGACAGTTAATTTCCTTGGAAAGTTTATGAGGCTCAAAGGATTGGGGTTTGTATTTTTTTTCAGTGTTTTCTATTCCTGGTTGAAAGAGATGGAGGAATATTCTCTCTGTATATATGCATGACATACATCATGAAAAAAAAAAAGGTTTTTAGAATATCTAAAACTTAAAGATTAATTTATATTTTCAGGTCATTAGGTGCTTTAAGCTGCAGATAGATGTCTGACTGATTTTCCAAAGCATATATATGCCTACCTCATCAGTAGAGCTGATATGCCTAGCCTATGAGGTGCTTGTTAAAGTCCTAATTGACTATGTGCTTCTTAGGCACATTAATTAAAAATCTGGTTCTAAATGTCATTAAGAGCTATGAAGGAAGGCAGTCACTGGAAAGTAAAGAAAAGGTCAGAAGGAAAACCAGGTCAGTGTCATTAGCAAACTCAATAAATTCTTCTCGTGTCTGATTTTGCACAGCTGACTTGGAGATGGATGCTGGGGAAATCCCAGGCTGGCCTGGGTTGGAAGGGAACTTTAAAGATCCTCAAATCCACTCCCCTGCTATGGGCAGAGCCACCTTTCACTACACCAGCAGCTCAAAGGTCTGTGATGAAAACAAAAAGGTGAGTAAGAGCTTTATTTCCCCATTAAACAATGGAGTGAATTTCCCCAGTGCAAGGAGCAAGGTCAGAGTGCAGGAACCTGCTCTTGGGAATATCAGGCCTGGCCCCTGATGGGGTAAAGCTTGTCAGCTCTCACTGGGGCAGGGCCATGCAGTGTGTGAGGGTCACCTGAGCTACTTCAGCTTGTGACCAGGGGGTGTCAGGCCAGGCAATTCATGTTTGTGCCCAAACAGTCACATTGTTAAAGTTCCTAATTGCCCCAAGTCCTCAGACAGCCTGTGCTGCTCCAAAGGGGGACACAGGGACAGGGCTGCCCAGGACATGGCTGCTCCATGGGCCCCGCTGCACAGCACAGGCCTCAGCGGGGGTCTCGTCCCACAGGGAGGATTTAGGATCCACTGCTCCTCACCTAAAGTGCCACTCAGGTGGCAGTCAAATTTCAGTGACAATGAACTGCTCCTCACCTGTGTGCCGCACAGGTGGAAGTCATGTTTCAGTGACAATGAACTGCTCCTCACCTAAAGTGCCACTCAGGTGGAAGTCGTTTCAGTGACCAGTGAACTGCATCCGTGGGCTTCTGTAGTGTGCTTTAAACATGCCCTGATGGCCTCAGAGCCTAACTCACAGGGTTTTAAAGATCATTTAGGGTAAAATGCAGTGAAGGACTTTAGCCATTGATTATAGGAGTTACTTTACTTGTGGGCAAGGGAGAGAAATAGTACATGTTATGAAGAAACAACACAAGAACGTGGATGTTTTCCACACTGAAAT